CGTCCGAAGAGCCCTCTTTGGGAGTATCCCAGGGTGCTCCCTTTTTTCTGAGCGGCCTGCTAAACTTGTACGGCTAAGCTCGGGAATTTGGGGAGAAAGATCGCCTGCGATGGGAGAGGAGGGTCCTCCTCCCCGCTCCCCATTGCACTCCGCGCCTTCCCCTCCCTCCCCCCATCGAGTCCCAGGTCAGGTCGAAGCCCTCCGCGTGTGCCTTGGACTCCACCTTCGAGAGCGCCTGGGCGTGAGGGGAGGAAGAACAGCAGGGATGCGGGGGCAGAGGGGGGGATGGAGGGAGAGAGCAGAAAGCGGAGGGAGGAGGGAGAGAGACAAAGTAAAGGAGAGGGGCGGGGAAGGCGGGGCGGGAGTAAGGAGGAGGAAGAGGGGGGTGGGAAGAAGGAGGGGATAACGCGGGAAATCGGGGAGTGGGTGGAGGGATCGAGGGGGCGGGGGCGTGGACGCGGGGGATGGAAGAGGAGGATTAGGAGAACGGCAGTGAGGAAGAGGAGGGAAGGGGGTACTCCCGGAGAGAGTTTGGAGAAGCAACTCTGGTCGTCACTCCTCGCGACACTGTGGTGAATCTCTCACAACGCGCTACCTCCGGGAGAGCAGGAGGCGCGATGTGCAGAGAACTTCAAATGCTCTCCGGGAGCCCGGGTGGCCTACATTGGCTCCGGGGTAACAGGGTGGGGTGGAGACGGCGCGGAGGGCTCCTCCTCCTCCTCCACTTCACCTCCTCCTCCTCCTTCCCCTCTCCCTCCTCCTCCTCCTCCCTCCTCCTCCCTCCTTCTGCTCCTCCTCCTCCTCCTCCTCCTCCTCCTCCTCCTCCTCCTCCTCCTCCTCCTCCTCCTCCTGCTCCTCCTCTTCCTGCTCCTCCTCGTCCTCTCCTCTTCTCCTCCCCTCCCTCCTTCTCCTCCCTCCTTCTCCTCCCCTTATCTCCCTCCCCTCCTTCCGATTCCTCAGATTTTCACTCCTGCTCCTGCTCCTGCTCGTGCTCCTCCTCCTCCTCCTCCTACTCATCCTTCTCCTCCTCCTCCTCCTGCTCCTCCTCCCTCTACCTCCTCTCATCTCCTCCTCCTCCTCCTCTCACTCCTCCTCCTCCCCTTCTCCTCCCTCCTCTCTCCTCATCCCCTTATCCTCCATAAGCTCCTCCGATTCCTCGATTCCTCCTCATGCTCCTGCTCCTGCTCCTGCTCCTGCTCTGCCTCCTGCTACTGCTCCTGCTCCTGCACCTCCTCCTCCTCATCCTTCTCCTCTTCATGATCATCCTCATCTACTCATCCTCCTCCTCCTCCTCCTCCTCCTCCTCCTCCTCCTCCTCACCATCTCCATGAATCATGCAATCATGCTCCTCCTGTTGTTGCTGCTGCTGCTCTTCCTCTTGAACAACCTCACCCACTGCCCCTCCCGCCTCCTTCGCCTGTCCCCTCCTCCCGCGCCCCCCTCCTGCACCCCTCCTCCCTCGCCGCCCCCCGGCCCTCCACCCCTCCCCCCCGTCCGACCCCTCGCCGCGGCTGCTGCCACCTGCAGCTCACCAGCCCCCCCCCCATGCCCTGCTGCCAAACTCCCCGTCCTGAGGGCGGCCTTCCCCCGACCGACGCAAGGGGGCCGCCCCGCTCACAGCGCGACCGTGCCCTGAAGCCTCGGCGGCAAAGGGTGCGAGGCTCCTGTTACGAGAAAAATTCTGAAGGCCTCGCGCGGCAACTTGAGACCCAATTTACGTCGGATCCACGTCGGATTCACGTCGGGCTCACGTCGGACCATGTCGGAATTGAATCGGATGTACGTCGGACTGACTCCGGTGCATCGCCGCGCGAGCGTCGACCCATAGCTTACGGAGCTGACGTGTGGACTAGATAATACTACTATCACGCGCCGCGCGAGGCCTCCAGGGTTGTCCTCATAACCCCTGGGTGCCCAAGGCTGCAGCCGAAGCCAGAAGCCCATGGCCCATGGCTAACGGCCAGGGGCCACGGCGAACGCCCATGGCTAACGGCCGATGGGCCAGAGGGGCGAGGATGCGAGGGTAACCGTCGATCGAAAGGAATGGGTAGACGCATGAGGTAGGAAGGCGTGGAGCACAGATTTGTTCGTCGCTGGCCCCATGAACAGGAAAGACAAGGGGAAGCCACTCGAGCCTTGAAAGCAGCAAGGCGACTGACACATGGGGATCCAACAATACCTACTTTAGAGGCCTCCTGCATGAGGTCCGAGTGGAAGGGTTCGGAGGATCCCGCCGCATCGCCGATGCATCGGCGATACATCGGCGGCGTCGGCAATACACCAGCGCCGTCGGCGTGGGGAAAATCAGGCTCCGCATCAAGCCGAATCGCCGATGCATCGGCGATGCGGCGCGCTCCTCCGATCCCATCTACTCGGACCCCATCTGGGAGGCCTAGATACTCTCAGACAACGATAGGCACCCTTGGAAAATGATTCGTCCTTACCATGCGTTTCGACTGCACGTATGGGCGGCCGCCGGCGCGCGCACGCCTCCAGCTTCCAGAGGCCCGACCGCGCCCACTGCCGTGGCGACGCCGTGGGCGCCTTGGGGGCGGCCCGGGCCGGGCGGGGAGGAAGGACAAGGGCAGCCACTGGCCTGGACGAGGTGCTGGCGTGAGCTTCTCAGACCGAGGGAGGGGGAGGAGAAGGAAAAGCGGGATCGGGGAGGACGGCGGCGACGACGACGGCGACGGCGACGGCGGCGACGACGACGACGACGACGCGCGCGGGCCGACGCCGACCACCAGCGCCGTGGCGGGGGGCGCGCGCACGCGCGCGCGCCTGCGGGGCGCGCGCCTGCCACCGCGCCACGAGGCGCCGCCGCTCCGCGCCCCAGGCCTCGGCGGGGCCCGCCGACGCCGCGCGCGGGCCGCCGCCGCCGCCTCTGCCGCCGGCGTTGCCCTCGGAGCTCAGGCCCGAGGCCGCCGGGGCCTCCGAAGCTGGCCGGGTTCGGGGAAGAGCGAGGACGGCTGCCGAGGTGGTCCGTGCGGTCCGCAGCCCCGAGAGCTCCCGGCCCCTTCCCGTGGGGGGCAGCCGTGCCTCGAGGAGCCACGCTCGGTCGAGGAGCAATAACAGTACCCCCCAACCCGGTGGGAGGGGGGGCCTAGGTCAGGAGGGATGAGGGGGTCGGGTTTGCAAGTGTACCAGACCAGGCCGCCCAGATTGATGATCCCTAATGCGGAGACGGGGACTTGAGTGAGGCCGCGTCTTCAGCGTGTTATTGGGGTTCGGGGTTCTGATCTCAATGATTGGTGGCCCTGGGGCCCGATGGAGGACATCGCAGCTTCGGGACTCTGGGCTGCGGTCGGCGGGAGGCCGACGCGCGCGGAGGGGCGAGGGGGAGCGGGAGTGCAGGACTGCAACAACACGGCGCAGGGGCCGCCGTTGGCGTTGGCGTCGGCGTCGGCGTCGGCGTCGGCGTCCGCGTCATCGGCGTCGGCGTCGGCGTGGTCGTCGTCGCCGCCGCCGCCGCCGCCCGCCGCCGTCGCCGCCGTCGTCGCCCTCGGAGGCCAGGCCCGAGGGCTCATCCGGGCGCTCACGGCGGCGGGCTCACAGGGCTGCGGCCGCGCGCAGCGCGCTGCCGCCGCCCCAGACGTCAGAGGGCGCGAGGGGAGGAGAAGAGCATGTTTCAATTCGCGGCGAGAAGAGGCGTTTTAGGGGGCGGGCGGGTGGGCGGGGGGGGATTACGCAACGCCCCCAACCGCCCAGCCGTGTGGGTCCAGCACTAGGGGCGCACTGCGGCAGTGCCGGGGTTGCAAAGGTCCGGAGATCGCGCCGCATCGCCGTGCATCGGCGATGCATCCGTGATTAATCGGCGATGCATCGGCGATGCATCGACGACGCCGGCGGTGCATCGGCGACGTCGCCGTGAAGCAACTCGGGCTCCGCACCGAGCCGCATCGGTGATGCATCGGCGAGTGCGGCGCGATGCTCCGACCCCATCTGCTCCGACCCCACCTGGGAGGCCTAGATGTTATCTCTGCGATCACAGGAGGAGGAAGAGGAGGAGGAGGGGTGGGAGGAGAAGGAGGGGAAGGGGGAGGAAGAGGAGGAGGAGGAGGAGGAGGAGGAGGAGAGGAGGGAAGGAGGAGGAGGAGAAGGAGAAGAAGGAGGAAGAGGATGAGGAGGAGGAGGAAGAGGGGGGAGGAGGAGGAGGAGGGAGGAGGAGGAGGAGGAGAGGAGGGAGGGAAGGAGGAGGGAGGAAGAGAGGAGGAGGAGGAGGAGGAAGAGGAGGGAGAAGGAGAGGAGGAGGAGGAGGAGGAGGACGAGGAGGAGGAGGAGGCGGAGGAAGAGGAGGAGGGGGAGGAGGAGGAGGAGGAGGAGGAAGGAGGAGGAGGAGGAGGAGGAAGAGGAGGGAGAAGGAGGAGGAGGACGAGGAGGACGAGGAGGAGGAATAGGAGGGAAGAGGATGGGGGGGGAGGAAGAGGAGGGAGGAGGAAGAGGAGAAGGAGGAGTAGGAGGAGGGAGGAGGAGGCGGATCGAGGAGGGGGGGGGGGACCGCGAGGAGGAGTGGACGCGCTGCGGTGGAAACAACAAAAAAACGAGCCTGGCTCGGCCGACGCGAGCCGCGGATCTCTGGACCTCCGCAGCCCCGGACCGCCTCAACGAGAACTTCGGGAGGCACACCCGGGAACCCAAGCGGCGCAGCGGCGGAGAGGGGACGAGGGAGGAGGGGGGAGGAGGGCAGGGCTCAACCTAAACGGTGCTTTTCGTGTTCGTTCTGTCTTCGTTTTCCCTCGTCTTCTCTTCAATCCGCCTCCACCGCAAAACGAAGTCGAAACGAAAGCGGTCCACGAAATCACCAAAAACGCCGTTTAGGTCCAGCCCTGGAAGGAGGGAGGGAGGGGACGCGGTGGAGAAAGTCGCTGCCGTAATACAAGATGTTCTGCCCCCCTCCCCCCCAAGGAGGTTTCCGAGCCCCGGGGGGTATTGTCACCAGCTCCCAGCTGCACCTCGCAAGGGGCTTCCCAAAAGAGCTGCAATCATCCCCAAGGGCCGCCTTGGTTCCGACAAACACTCCTGTTCTTGCCCCTCCTCGGTCTCGGCTCATCCAATGAATTCGTAAGTTAGTGCGCGGCTCTGTGGACTGGAGTATGGCCCTTCTGATACGGGCCGACTGTAACAGTCGGCCCGTATGCGAAGGATGCGCGTAAGGATGCAAGGGCCTTGGACGGCCATGTCGGAGCTTTCCGAGCGGGGCGCGGCCAATTAGAGTGGCCAAGGATGGACCGAGGAGGCAAGGATGCAAGGGTACCCTTGGCAAGGCTGCCCATCCTGATCATGCGGGTTGACTGTACCGGGATTTTGCTCAAAATCCGCCCGCCGACCCAATCATAGCGCGTTCACTTGTCCTGAAGATTGGTCGCCTGAGGCCGTACCAAAGCCCGGACAGAAGCAACCGATGCGACCTTGCTAAAAATCTGATCATGTCTCTATCGTCCATGCACAAGGCCATGCACGTTAAAGAGGTCACTGGCCCATGCTACTACTGGCGTTGATGGGGATTGGCACGTGGGCGCGTGACCCGTGCGGCACTCCTTCTGACATCGCCCAGACGCGCAGCTTGCGCGCGAGTACCCCGTGCGACACGATCTGATAAAATCGCTCCATCGGTTCATTGAAAAACAAGATGTGATCAAAACCTTCTGATGCTGGACGTATGATAAGCTCCTGAGGAGTAGCTGTGCGTGTGCACCCGAATGGCCCGCATGATAGCACTCGGCATAGTGTAATACAAGCCTTCTGTGCAAAATCGGCGCAAGCCTTGGAGTACTATGTGGGGCCTGCTCTGGAACAGGACCACACCGTAGACGGATCGAACCGTTCTCCGACCTTCTCGAACACAGCGGCCGCGCTGTCTAGATGCATCCGCCCCGAAACTGTCCGTTTATGTGCGTGAGGGCATCCGGTGTGTCCAACGACGCTTGGTGCCTTGAAAGTGAGAGGACGGCACTCGGCATAGACCCCAGAGGCTGGTCTTCTAGAAGCAGGTAGACGTTGCCCTCCAACGTAAGCGCAGTTCATAATCTCGTTTGGAAAGGGCGACGATGGTGCAGGGGCAAGATAGGTGTGCGGCCCGCATGTCAAAAGAAATTGCACGCGTGTGGCAAGCATGGCAGTCTTGCACATGAAAAATGCCAGGGGCCGGATCCCGCCCAAGTCCAGAAAAAGGAACAGTGACTCTATATCAGTCAAATGAGTGTTGGGCTCACCTGCTCGCGCGCAGACTGGATAGAAACCCTGGATTGCCAAATGACGACCACGCATCAGAGTGCCGCACCTGTGCTTCGCACCTATGGCCTGTACGACTGTGGGTGCCGCGGGCCCCCGGACCTCTCGCCTCCATCGCCGGGGCCAGTAATCCGTCCGGGGTCGTTTCTTGCGGGACCCGGGGGCGCAGGGCGTGCTTTCCAGAGGTCCACACGGAATCGGAAGACGAGCACCGGCAGGCACGACTTTGGTCCGTGACGCAGGCGGTCGGGTGTCCTCCTATGGGAGGCCGCCCCACTTGGGGCCGCGCAGATGGAGTCGGGGGCTCGCGCTGCGTCGCCGATGCATCGCCGATGCAGCGACGACGTCGGCGATGCGTCGGCGAGATCAGCGCGGAGCAAAGTGTGGCTCCGCCTTGAATCCTGCGGGTCGGTCTCCTTGGCTGAACACGGCGCGCCTCGCTGCGCCTCGCATCGACAACGGCAAACTCTGTCTTCATTGGTCGGGCGTTGCCAAAGAGGGGTCCGTCCCCAAGATCTCTCCGAACGCCAAGATGACACCCAAGAGCACACCACACCCATCACGAGACCCAGCGGGCCCAGGGGGTTCAAAGTGGCACGAAAAGCGGACTACTCCTTGGGCCAGGACCACATCTGGTAACGCTGACATCCGACGTCGTGTTTGTTTCGCTACGCGGACCCAGGGAGGTCAACACAGTTTCCCCAGAAACGCCTGTTCAACCCAACTCGTTTTTCTGAAGTTCCTTGGGACCAATGAAGGCCATCAGAGACAGAAAATGTGCAAAACTTTCCGCCGTGATCTTCTTGACACAACGACACAACGCTGCCGAACTGAGCCAACCTGCGCTTCGCCGCTTTGGAGGCCGCCAAGTATCGAATCGAAGTGGATGGTGTCGGTGGATCGTGCCGCATCGCCGATGCGTCGCCAGTGTATCCGCGACGTCGATAGAGGCCTCCTAGATGGGGTCGGAGTAGATGGGGTCGGAGGATTGGGCCGCATCGCCGATACGTCGACGATACATCGGCGATGCATCATCGATGCACTGGCGATGCGCTGTCGGCGTCGACGATGCATCGGCGACGCCCACGTGGAGCAAATCGGGTTCCACATCAAGCCGCATCGGCGATGCGTCGGCGACGCGGCGCGATCCCCGACCCCACCTGCTCAGACCCCATCCGGGAGGCCTAGGTTCGACCTCTGCTCTCACAGGAGGAGGAGGAGGAGGAGGAGGAGGAGGAGGAGGAGGAGGACGAGGACAAGGAGGAGGGAGGAGGGAGAAGGAGAGGGAGGAGGGAGGAGGAGGGAAGAGGAGGAGGAGGAGGACGAGGACGACGAGGACGAGGAGGAGGAGGAGGAGGAGGAGGAGGCGATCCTCCGACCCCCATCTACTCCGACCCCATCTCGGCGGCCCAGACGGGAGCGAGCTCGAGGCCGGTGGCCGGGGCCGCGCTCCCCGGGGAGGCGCCGCCGCGTGCCCCCGCGGCCCCCGCCGCGCGCTGCGCCCGTGGCAGGTTCCTCAGGGTGCCAGCAGCAGAGGCGGGGCCTCGGCCCTGGGGTCCCCCTCCTCCTCCTCTCCTCATCCTCCTCCTCCTCCCTCCTCTCCTCCTCCTCCTCCTCCTCCTCCTCCTCCTCCTCCTCCTCCTCCTCCTCCCCTCCCCCTCCCCCTCCTCCTCCTCCTCCTCCTCCTCCTCCTCCTCCTCCTCCTCCTCCTTTTCCTGGCCCGCACGTTTTGGGGGGGAAACGTTTGGGGGGAGGGGGGGCACTTCGGGGAGGGAGGCCTCGAGCTGGAGTCGGCGACACGCCGCCGACCGATCGACGATGGGCCCCGATGGCAGCTCGGCATGGACGCGGCATCCGGGCTCCTGTCGGCGATAATCGGGGATGGACAGACCCCTACAGGCGGATTTGGGCCAAAGAATTTAAAACCAACCAAAACAAATCCGCTAAACAATACTTCCAAAATGCTTCAAAATTGTCAACAAATAGTCCCCAGACTATGTTTTGACTCTTTTGGAATATCCCTCCTGAATCGGGGATGGACAGACCCCCCTTTAGCAAAACGTGGTTTAGTGAAAACGACCCGAGGCCCAAACCTGGCGGGCGCATGCCTGGAAGGTGACGTCCACGGCGCCCTCTCGAGACCCGAAAACGGACAAATCACTAATCGACGTGTCACTGTTGGGGGTTCTGTCCACCCCCGAGATAAATGGGCGACTGCGGGTCGCTGCATTCTTCCCTGAGCCCTTCCCCGCTAACGCTGCCCCTGAGCAGTGGGGATGGACCAAAAAGGGAAGCGATGCCGAACAGCAGACGCTTCCCAACGACCGTCGGCGGCCACTGCTGGGGCAGGAGACGCCCAACCCCGAATGGACGCCACCCGCGGCGACTCCGGCAGCAAGTTCGTCAAAACGGGCAAGACATGATGTTGGCCTTCGCCCCCACGCTTCCCGCCCTCGTCTCGATCGAACGGAACCCAGATCCGATGACTGAGCTGCTTTCAGTCAGGGACCTCGGAAAGAACGACCCCTTCCCAGGGAACGGCTCCGCGTCCCGAGCCGTTCTTTGACGGCTCTGGATGAAGGGGCCCTGGGACACACACATAAATATACACACAAATAAAAAGACTCCCCATATTTTCCCATATGTTCTGGGCTTCTGCCTTCCCCCCCACTTCCCAGATTCTCCCTTATGTTCCCTGGAATCGACGATTCATCGTGTCTGTGTGTTTCTTTCCCTCCTGACTGGAGCCCGGCGAGGGCGTATTGGGGGCCCCCAAACGGGGTGGTGACCACACCGTGCGGTGAGTCGGTGGGGATTCGGGGTCACCGCACGGTTTTGGGACTCGGGCGACAGGGGCATCCGAGGTCCCAAAACCGTGCGTTGACGGACCGTGCGGTGAGGTCTTGGGGGATTTCGAGGTCACCGCACGGTCTGTCACCGCACCGTTTTTGGACCTCAAAGCGTCAGTCACGACCCCTTCCCCCCGGAACGGCGTCGCGCCCCGATAGGGTCTCGAAAAGGACCCCCACACGGCGAAGGACATCCGCGCCCCGAGGTCCGACGCTTCGGAAAAAACTGCAACGACGTGGGAAACCACGACCAGGAGGAGGAGTCCAGGAGGAGGAGGAGGAGTCCAGGAGGAGGAGGAGGAGGAGGAGGAGGAGGAGGAGGAGGAGGAGGAGGAGGAGGACCGAAGCCCCAGAACGCACCGTTCTGCGGCAGTTCTCCAGCTGGATCGACAGTCGAGGGCCCCCGGGCCCGCTACCTGGGCGAAAGCGCCCAGCGTGCAGGAAACGGCGACGCCAGGATGGGAGCTGGCACCAAAACCAGCACGAGGGTGTGCCTTCCCCGAAGGAAATCCCACCAGCCCTCTGGGCGTCGGTGGTTTAGAGCGTTTCCTCTTCCACCCCTCCTTCTTCCCCTTCGGGGAGGGGTTTACCCCTCCCCCTACCCCCCCCCCCACTGACCTGGACAGGGGGTTCCGCGGCGCGTTGGAGCGCCCAAGATGGCCCAAGACGGCTCCAAGAGGGCCTCAGGGAGCCCAAGATACCCTCCAAGATGGCTCAAGATAGCGCAAGATGCCTCAAGATGGTCCCCATGATGTTCCAAGACGTTCCAAGAACTCTCCAAGACGGTTCCAAGTGCCCACAAGAGCATCATTAGGATGCATCCAAGAAGCCAACATGCTTCAAAACCCTTGGGAAAATCAATGTTTTTGGTGTTCTCACGTTTTCGCTTGCGATGCACATCCGAGGCGTCAAGATGGCTCCAAGATGGCTCAAGATAGCCCAAGAAGGGCCCAAGAAAACCCCATGACGCGAGCGCCGAAGAGCGCTCCAAGAGCGGTCCCAGAGCGGTACAGGAGACGATTTTTGGAGTTCCTGGGGGGGGGCTCTAATTAAGGAACCCCTCTTCTTCGATCGATTTCCTCCACGATGGCCGCAAGAGGCCCCCAGGATGCCCCAAGAGGCCGCAGGATGGCCCCAAGATGGCCCCAAGAGGCCCCCCAAGAGGCCCCCAGGAGGCCCCCAAGAGACCCCCAAGAGGCCCCAAGAGACCCCCCAGAGGCACCCAAGGTGCTCCCAGAGGCCCCAAGATGGCCCCAAGAGGCCCCAAGAGGCCCCCAGGAGGCCCCAAAGAGAATCCCGAACGGCCCACAGAGGCCCCCCCGAGGCACCCAAGACGCCGAAAAGCCCCTCAGGACGACCCTCTACTCGCCTGGGCGTCGTTTTTTTTGTTTTTGTTTTTTTACAGCCGCAGGCGGAGGCGCCGACGGCGAGCGGTCACGGTCGGGCTGCGGCCGCGACTAAATTCCCGGGCGCGCGCGGGGGCCGCGGATCAGGCGGCGGGGGGGGGCGGCAACCCAGGGCGTCTGAGAGGCCAGGCGGGCGTGCAATCCCAGGGAGTCTGCAAGGACAGCCCGAGGACACGTGCAAGGGCAATCCCAGGGAGTCTGAGAGAACAGCCACCGAGGGGTGCCAGCGCAGCCAAAATGGCGCGAGGGCGTTCCCGCCGTGGGCTGGTGGGGATACGCGAAGCGTCTAGAATTGATCCTAGCTTGTGGCGCCGGTGGCAAGGCTCCAGCTACCTGGGCAGCCCGAGTGGTACCCCTTCTCAACGAGATCGGGATCGTCTCCCTTCGGATCGTGGAGACGGAAGAACTGGGGTCGGGGGACTCGTGTCAGTCTGACGGGGCCGTCAGGAAAATTGCGACTGCACCGCCAGAATATGACCATATCCGCTGCTGCTGGGTCGTGTTCCAAGGGCTCGGGGAGCGGGCGGGCAGATGTCCACATCCCCCGCTCCTCGAGATCCCAGGGCACGACTCCGAAGCGAGGGATGTGAACACATTCTGGCGGTAGACAGACCCAATCTGAAATTTGGCAAGCTCCCCTTGCAAACATCCCAGCCCGTCGATCAATCCCGGACGGGCCCCCACCAAAGGCAACTCCCGAGGTCTGGCGAACTCGAGTCTCACCTCACGTAGCCCCGATGGTTGGCGCAAGCGCCGACGTTGTTGGTGCCAACCCCTCTAGAAGAACAGAGAACTAGCGAAACCTGAATTTTCGACGGTCCACGCGGACTTCTTGGATCTCCGCCGGACCTCCTCCCTGGCGCGCGGAGCGCGCCAGAGGTGCCGGGGTGGGGCGGCGCCAGAGGTGTCGCCAGGGGGGCCCAGCGCAGATCGAAGAAATCCGGGCGGACCATCGAACATTTATGTTTATGCAGTTTTGTTGTTACCCCCCTGGGCGTTGCTAAATGTGAAGACGATACATGGGGGTAATGACGAAAGGTGCACCCCTCGTGCCCCAAAGAGACCCCCTCTGTGGCACCAAAGGTGAACGCTTCCCCCATTGAATCGCCCCACCACAACGCAACCCCCGCCCCTCGGCCTCCGATTGAGGGGCAACGGTAGGAGTGGACTGACATAGGGGGGGAAACATCGACTTGGAATCGGCAATACGAAACGCCAAAAGATCGCCGAGAGGCCCCCGAAAGCGAATCCGCACGCTCCTTGGCGGGGTGGGGCTGTGGGGTCGGTTTCGGCGACGGGGGGTCGATGCATTCCCCCCTGAGCCTATCCCCCCCCCCACGTTGCCCCTGGTTTTCGGGTCGGGCGAAAGGGGGGGATAGCAAAGGGGAGGTTTGAGAATCATCTCACGTAGCTGATTTCCCTGGCGCCTCCCGGCGCCGGAGGCGGCTATGTATCGAGGAATGGGCCCCTCGGTGAGGCCGAAACCAGCTGCATGCAGCAAATTTCGTAACCCCCCCTTTCCCAATCCCCCCCTTTCGCCCGGCCCGAGGTATCCAGGCTATTCATAACACGGCTCTCCGGCGGCCGTTCGGGGCGATGCGGGCTCCCCTGGAACGCTCTCGGCGAGGCGCAGCCGCTGGCGTGCACCCCGAGGCTCTGAAACCGCCGAGGTCCCACGACAATGCCCCCGAACCTTGAACCTCGATGGTGGCCAAGAGGGGGGCGTCCAAGAGGGGGGGGCGCACAAATCATGGCCAGTGGTATGTGCGCGGCCCAGGGGTGGGTGGGTCAGAGTCGCCATGAGATAAGCAGAGACGTCATGAAATCTGAGGAGATATCATGGCCCACGCCATGATATCTACCCCCCCAGGTCATGGCCCCCCTCTTGGCCGCCCCTCAGGTGTGGGCATCGGTCCTCCTGGTGGTCTGCACCCCCCCACCGCTCGAGACATCCTCCTCTGTCCCCAGCTCGGGAGGTGGTGGCGTCGCCTCCCCATCCTCCGACCGCGAGCGTCCGAGGTCCGACGCTCCCGGCGCGTGAGCCAACGTGCGGAACGTTGCCCCCCACGACCAATGCCCCCGACCGATGCCGCTACCGACGCGCGGGCGCCGCGAGCGCGGCTCAAAACGCTGGGGCCCCAGCGCTCAGCAGCGCCTCAGCGCGGCGGCGCACCGCTGGCGGCAGCCTCGCGCCGCCGGCCCGCGCCGCGCCTCCGCGCCGTGCGCGCGCGGGCGCACGGGCGGAGATGCCGTCGTCGTCGTCGTGGTCGCCGTCGTCGTCGTCGCCGTCGTCGACGTCGTCGTCGTCGTGGTCGGGGTCGTCAAGGTCGTCGTGGTCGTCGACGTCGTGATCGTGGTCGTGGTCGTGGTCGTCGTCGTCGTCGTCGTGGTCGGGTTCGTTGTCGTGGTCGTCGTCTTCGTCGCCGTCGTGATCGTCACCGTCGTCGTCGTCGTGGTGGTCGTCGTTGTCGTGGTCGGGGTCGTCGTCATGGTCGTCGTTTCGTCGTCGTGTTCGTCACCGTCGTCGTCGTCGTCGTCGTCGTCGTCGTCGTCGTCGTGTTCGAGGTCGTCGTCGTGGTCGTCGTTTCGTCGTCGTGTTCGTCACCGTCGTCGTCGTCGTGGTCGTCGTCGTCGTCGTGGTCGGGGTCGTCGTCGTGGTCGTCGTCTTCGTCGTCGTGGTCGTCGACGTCGTGGTCATGGTCGTGGTCGTCGTCGTCGTCTTCGTCGTCGTCGTGGTCGGGGTCGTCATCGTGGTCGTCGTCTTCATCGTCGTCGTGGTCGTGGTCGTGGTCGTGATCGTCGTCGTCGTCGTCGTCGTCGTCGTCGTAGTCATCGTGGTCGCCGTCGTCGTCGTCGTGGTCGGCGTCGTCGTCGTGGTCGGGGTCGTGGTCGTCGTCGCCATCGTCGTCTTCGCCATCGTCGTCTTCGCCGTCGTCGTGGTCGTGGTCGTGGTCGTGGTCGTCGTGGTCGTCGTCGTCGTCGTCGACGTCGGGGTCGTCGTCGTGGTCGTCGTCTTTGTCGTCGTCGTCGTGGTCGTCGTGGTCGTGGTCGTGGTCGTGATGGTGGTCGTCGTCGTCGTCGCGGGCGTCGTCGTCGTCGCGGGGGCGTCGTCGTCGCTGGTTGCCCTCGTTGTCGCGCCCGATTTCGCGATCGCATCTCGCCCTCCTCGGTCCTCCCCGCCCCTCGGCTCCGCCTCTGCTCCAAGGGCGAAGGCCATACGGCCGGTGCCGAAGACCCCAGACCCTGAAGTGGGACAGCGACGATGACGGCGACGGCGACGCCGCGGGTCCAGCGCGGCGGCTCTGCCCGCTGCAACGCCGGGGCGTCTTTGTGGTCTTCAAGATCGACGTTCCTTTCCATTGCCACTGTGGGGCCCGTGCTTCTCGTTTGGGGGAGCCTCGTTCGCGCCGTCTTCGGCTCGGGTTCCGTTTCGCATCGCCGTGTTTTTATGAATCCTGTTTTGGGCCACCACTGCTCTGTTCCCGTTTGGGTTGGCCGACGATCGGAAAAGCTGAAAACTGTGGAACCAAATCCAGACGCACGGAGGCGGAGGAAGAAGGGGAGGAGAAAGAAAAGGAGGAGGATACGGAGGAGGAAGCATGGAGGGTCAGCTAACGTCCACAGAGCACTCGGCGAGGCGCCAGCCGCTCGTCGGAGGAGAAGGTGGCGATCCCCAGACGCGCGGCTAAAAAAAAGCACGGCGGGAGGCCTCTGGCCGCCTTCGGCCTCGGGGGGCCCTCGCCAGGCCCTGGGACCGCTCGAGAACGACGCCGAGGGAACACCCAGCCCTGGGGGATGCGCAGGGTCGGGACTTCTGGGGGCCGCGCATTGAAAAAAAGCAAGACGTCGCAGGTCTGGGCTGCTTGTCCCGGAGAGTGCTCGTCGCCACGTCTGGCTTCTCAACGAAGTTTTGGCCGCAGCGCACCCCAGGAGGGGTCTGGGGAGTAGCCGTATCGGTTTCCTTTGATTCCCTCTCCTCCTCCTCCTCCTCCTCCTCCTCCTTCTTCTCCGCCTCCACCTCCACGTCATCCTCCTCCTCATCCTCCTCCTCCTCCTTCTCCGCCTCGGCCTACACCTCCTCGTCCTCCTCGCAAGCCAGAGCGCCGTTCCTGGATTGGGAGACCTCTCTGGCCAGAGAGTCCTTGGGCGAATTGCAAGGAGGGAGTGTCAGGCAGGAGCCGCTGTCGTCGCAATTGGGCCTTCACCAACCTGAATGGATTGCGAGAAAGTTTTAGCCAGAGCGCTGTTCCTGAATCGGGGGGCCTCTCTGGCCAGGGCGTCCTGACTAAATTTGGAAGTGTCGACCAGGAGCCCTTGGCGTCGGAGTTGGGCCTTCACCAACCCGAATGAATTGCGGGCAGCCTCGGGCTAGAGCGCCGTTCCTGAATTGGGGGGGGCCGGTCTGGCCAGGGCGTCCTGGAACAAATTGCGAGGAAGTATCGAGCGGGAGCCGTTGTCGTCGTAGCTGGGTCTTCAAAGATCAGGATGTTGAACCAAGCCCTTGAGCGGAAGCATTTTCAAAGAAAATGAATCCGGCGTCGAGGCGAGAGCGCCCAAAAACGGCTGCCAAAATTCGACAATAATCATTCTCTAGAAATGAGTCTCCGACGTCGGCGACGACCACCACAACCACGACCGCACCCACCACGGCGATGACCACCACCGAACGGCGACGGCCGCAACGACGACGACGGACGACGACAGTAGACGAACAACAACTACGTCAGCAGAAATGTTTCTGACGTCCGCGCGGACTTCTTCGGTTGGGGATGACCTCTGGAAGCGCGCCGGGTTCGGCACTGGACGCGCCACAGGGAGGGTCCTGCGCCGACCCGATAAAACCCGCACGGACCTCCGAGGAAGTCTGTGCTCGTGCTATTTTTCGATCCACCGTCACCGTGGTTGGCGCATGATCACTCAGCACCGACTTGGGAGATCGGATCAAATCGGAACGCGCGTCGGATAGGGCCGCATCGGCACAGCGTCGAGGTCGCATCGGATCGGCCACTCCGTACTCGAATGCACCATTGCGCAGAGTGGGCATCGGGCCGAACCAGGCCGCTGAAAGACCGAGAACTGACCGGATCGAGCCTGGAAGACTAGAGGCCTGCTAGATGAGTCCGTGTAGATGGGTGGGGTCGGAGGATCGCTCCGCATCGGCGATGCATTGGCGATGCATCGGCGATGCGTCGGTGACGCCTGCGATGCCTCGGCGCCATCGGCGTGGAGAAAGTCGGGCTCCGCATCCCGCCGTATCGGCGATACATCGGCGATGCGGCGCGACCCTCCGACCCCATCTACTCGGACCCCATCTAGGTTGACTACCTACCAGACCAACTCAACCCAACCCGAAGACCCGAATTTCGGGTTGGGGGGGGTCAGGGTTCCACATGTGCTTTTTCGGTGTTTCCCGACACCCCCCCCCCCACTGGAAATCGAGGGTAGATCTGAGCCTTCGGGTTGGGTTGGGGTGGTCTGGTGGGTGGTGATAGGTGGCCTAGAAAATCGGGTCGGGCGAAAGGGGGGGATAGCAAAGGGGGGGTTTGAGAATCAGCTCCCGTAGCTGATTTTCCCGGCGCCTCCCGGCGCCGGAGGCGACCATGTATCGAGGAATGGGCCCGTCGGTAAGGCCGAAACCAGCTGCATGCAGCAAATTTCGTAACCCCCCCTTTCCCAGTCCCCCCCTTTCGCCCGACCCGAGAAAAACACGGGGTCGAATATCAGATCGGCAGAATCGGCATGGGCCCTGCCAGGGTGGCTTCAAGCCCACAGCTCGGGCCTCTCGCGGCTGTGCGGGGCGCTCTGCGCACCCCCAGGAGCGCCCTCGGCGAGACGGAGCTGCCGGGGAGCATCCCGAGGCCGGAAAACCTCCGGGCACCCCAAAAAACCCTGCGAGCCAGCGTGCGGAACAAGAGAACATCGTGAAGGATCACGGCCAAATCCCGAGACCCACGCTGTCTGCGGCACTTCTCGAGCCAGAGCGACTCGTGCAGGTCGAAAAACTGGGCGAGAACGCCCCGTGTGCACAAATGACGTCGTCTGGATCTCAGGCAAGCGCCCGAGGTGGGAAGACGGAGGCGACACCACCACCAACAGCACGAGGCGCCAGAGAGGGTCCTCCTGGTGGTCTGCCCATCCTCTGTCCCCAGCTCGGGGAGGCATCGTGGACCCCTTCGCTGGAGGTGGTGGCGTCGCCTCCCCTTCCTCCGACCGCGAGCGTCCGAGGTCCGACGCTCCAGGCGTGTGAGGCGGGGAAGTGGACAGATCCACCGCCTGGGGAGCGGATGTCCTGGGGCCCCAGGGGGCGGTGGATATGGACACACCTGGAGGACGGGGAGGAGGAGGAGGAGGAGGAGGAGGAGGAGGAGGAGATGGGGGAGGAGGAGGAGGGGGAGGAGGAAGAGGAGGAGGAGGAGGAGGAGGAGGAGGAGAAGGAGGAGGAGAAGGGCGTGCCGACCATCGCCACCTCCACCGCCCCCGAAGAAAAAGGAGGATCGGACGCCCGGGCGGTGGACACCAGACCGCGAACTCGCAGCCTCGGAGGGTGGCCACCGCCGCCGACGGCGGACGCCGCCGACGGCGGACGGCCACGACCGTCACGACGATCACACCCACCATTAGGTCGGGCATGTCCTCCTACAGGCGGGCTTCCTAAGAGAAAGGAAAGATAGTGAAAACATCATCAACAAAGTCTCTCTCTCTCTCTCTCTCTCTCACACACACAAAGAAAAGAAACGAGCAACCGTCACCAGACTAGTTCCTTCTACCATTCCTGCATTTCCCCCTGTAGGGGGGCATGAAGCCCACCACCGTGACGACGACGACGACGACGACGACGACGACGACACTGACGACGACAGCGACGACGACGACAACGACGACGACGACTACGACGACGACGACGACGACGTGGTCACGACGACGACGACGCAGCCACTGTGGGCGCCACCCTCCCCCTCCGCCCAGGCGCGGAGATGCGGCGGCCGCGCCTGAGCCGCCCGCGGGCAGGTCGCCGAGGCAGTCCTCCAAGGGGAGGGGGGGGGCGCCGGCGCCCCAACCCGTCGGGCGCGGTCGTCCCCTCGGCGCCGTCGCGAGGCTGCGTCGTCGTCGTCGTCGTCGTCATGGCCACGTCGTCGTCGTCGACGTCGCCGTCGACGTCGACGTTGCTGTTGTGGTGGTGCTGAGTGTGATCTGCGTGGTGGTCGTGGCCGTCCGTCGTCGACGATGCTGCCATGGCGGCTGAGGGCGTCTTCGTCGTCATCGTCCGTCCGCTCTGCACTCCGCAGTCGGACGTCCTGGTGGAAACAGGGTCCTGCAGATTTTGCTCGCCGATTCGTGACACCGCGGGGATCGTTTCAGCTTGAACGATCAGCCGTTCCATCCACGCCGGATCGCTGAACGACGGGCCGATTCTGCGCCACGGGCGGCGTTCAACCTTAGACGCACGCGCTGGGGTCGCCGCCAGTCGACACGACGCGAACCTGCCGTACCACTCTGGTGGGCTCAACCTGTGCCTCGTCGGCGCACCGGGACGGGGTTCGGAGCGCCTTCGACGAGCGATGCCTGTCCGCAAAAGGGGTCGTTTGGGGCATCAGGCGGAGCCGGCGCCCATCCGATGCCCTTGGCATGGACGCAGGGCAAATGTTTGATGACAGCTTGTTTAGATAAGAGCACACGGGAAACGAGCAGAAAAACAGATTCCGTGCCGCTGGGAAACAATCTCGGAGAGGACGGCCGAATAATCTCGATGACGACGGCACCCACCGGGCCCAGATCCTAACGCTGCGTGATGGGCAGCGCCAAGCATCTCTTACGGCTGGCGTCGCAGAGGTGGCATGCAACTTCGATCTCTGGACAGCACGCTGTTCCTGAGAGGCGATCCCCCCGCGAGGGCCCCTTCTGCGCACGCTGTCCCCCCGCGAGAGCCTCGTCGGTGCATGCTGACCCCCTGCCGAGGCCTCCTGGGCGCACGCGGTGCACCGACGCGGGCTGGCGGCGCCACATCGCACGCCATGCCTTTGCAGCGCCAGCCACACTCCATCGCCATCATGCACCGCGTGCTCGGGTCTCGAGGTTGCCCTTCCCGGGCCCCCAGAGGCCTTGCGAGCGGGGTTCCCTGACGACGGCCGCGGTGATGATGATCCCCCGCAGAGCCCACCCGGCCACCGCAGGCCTCCGAGGCCATCTGGGAACCCTCGGGGAGACTTCCGAGGATCACTGGAGGTCCCCGGACACCACCGAGCACCCCTTCCTCCGCTTCACTCCTCTTCATTCATCCTCGTCCTCCTCCTCCTCCTCCTCCTCCACCTCCTCCTCCTCCTCCTCCTCCTCCTCCTCCTCCTCCTCCTCCATCTCCTCCTCATCTGGCCGCTGCGCCGCCCGCCCGCCCAGCCGCCGTCGGCGCCAGTGTAGCCGCCCCCTGTGGCACGTGCCGATGATGCTGATGCCGCACATCCTAATCACCAGTGCCCTGGTTGCCGCGATAGTGTCAGCGACTTCGCTTACGTGGAGGCTCACCTTCACGAGTTTGATGATACGCAGCTCGATACCATTCCCAAGTTCACGAACATCTCTCTGGGCCAGTGGCGCCAGTGTCGTGTCCATTGCCAGCGTCGCCGATGTGGTGAGGCAGTTATGGATGATGCCAGTAATGAAGACAGCGAGGCTGGCGACCCACAGCAAGAGGATCGTGGTTAAACTCTGCTACCGAACATGGACTGGACACTCAGCAGGCTGAGCGCCACCACGCGCGCGTCACTCAAATTAACTGGTTTTGATCATTATGGGTAACGGCTGTTGCCTGGAGGGGTTGGGCCAGCGGGCAACGGTGACGGCAACCGCGGCGTGCGCCCGCCAGGGTGCGTCCGCGCCATCGGCACAAAACTTGCCTGCGAGCGCTGCAATCCCTGCGTTCGCGACAATGTCAAATGCACTCGTGCAAGAAAACGCCGCCCGAATGCACGACACTGTTTCCGTACACCACAACAGCTGCGTGCCCAACGCAACCACATCGCCCACGTACGCCGCAATATGCGCATACTGCAGCAATCGTGTGAGCAACAGCGCTTGTGTACACCACGTTGCCTGCGTGCACCTGAAGGCCTGTGCACACAGCAGCGCCCACGCCTGGTGGGATGGGGACGGGGGGACGGGGGAGGTGAGAGTAGGCGGGAAAAGGTACGATGAAGTATGGTGCTGGGTACGGTACGTTCGTGTCGCGATGACCTTGGCTTTGTTTTCCGACGCCGCATGGATCGTTCGATCATGAACGAGACCCGCGCCTGGAGGACCCTGGAATTCCTCGACCCCATCTTCGGCGCAGAGGGTTCGTTTCTGCGGGCCCAGGGCCCGAAACGGACCAACGACGACAGCGACGAGACCGACGACAACGCGTTCGGGGGGACGCGGGGGGAAGGTTGGACGACATGCGAGGACGTGGAAGGATTTGGGAATTGGCCCTGCTGCTGTTGAGGACTCCAATAATCTGGAACATCTGGACGTCGCTCTGGAGACTAGTGTATCGACGGCACGCAAGCTGGTGGGCTGGCGCATTGTGAAATCTCGGCAAGACCATCCACAACTTGCTTCGAACGAAACGGCCAAGAGGAGATGGAAATCCATTGGAGGAGGAGGAAAATTCGGGAGCGAGGTGGGGGAGGAGGGAAGCGGGAGGGAGCGGGGGTTTGGAACGGGGTGGAACTTTTTGTTGAATGGCACATGAGCAGACACGAGCGAACAGCCACATCGTACACCGGCGCGACAGCACGCAACAAAAACGCCACGAAATTCGGCCCGCAAATGCGAGCCAAAGCCCACGAAGAGGACAAGGAGGAGCGCGGGGGAGGACGAGGCGAAGGGGCAACGGAGCTGTGCGGATAACCCGATATGGCCCAAGCGGCCACTGATGTAATCCCAATAGCGCACAGCGCAATCCGGAAGGGAAGCGGAGCGGAGCGGAGCATCGAGGATCCGTCCGACGGGCGAAAGACCACGGCGACTGGCCGACCTCGTCGCCGCCCACACGCCCGCCCGCAGGGGGAGCGTGGGAGACGACGGGACCGTCCACGGGGGCTGGACGAACGCATCGCCTCCCACACGCCCGCCCGTAGGGGCACGCCCTGGGAGACGACGAGCCAGTCCAGCTGGCGGGCCTCAGATGAGCTCGCCATGGAGGCCCTCCACGCCAGGGGCGACGAGGGCACCGCGTTGCGCGGGAGGGCACGGAAGTCGAGCACCGCGTTGGGCAAAAGGCTACCGTCCCCGACGGCCGCCCCCCCGCGCATCCCCGGAGCGCAAGCCCCTGGCCCTCTGCGGCCCGACCACGTTCTCCACGCGGCGGCGTCGAGGACCGCCTCGAGCTCGTCGGGGCTAGTGGGGATCGAGCCCCGGCCGGCTGGCAGGCCGAAGCTCCCGCGGAGAGGGGCGACGCGCGCCCGCGGAGACCGGACCAGGTCGTCGTTGCAATTGCCGTCGTCCTTGCCCTTGCGTCGGCCCGCGCTGGAAGGCGGGCCGCGATCGGCCGTCCGCGGCGGCTGCACCACCACGGGCAGCCCGTCGGCCCAGGAGTCGTCGATGACGTCTTCCGGCATCGGCACCGGCAGCGCGGCCGCCATTTGCGCCGCGACTCAGACCCCCGCCACCCCAGCCTCCTTCATCATGCCGTCGGCGCCGAAGGCCGTGCATGGCCACCCCAGCCGCTCCCGCCGCTCCGCCACGGCCGCGAGGCCGACGCCGCCGCCTCCGAATGGCAGCCGCGGGCTCCGCTGGCGGCGCCGCCGCGGGCGCAGGTGCGGTGGGTTTGGCCACCACGGACACCGCCGTGCGCAGCAAGCCTTCGGCGGCGCAGGCGAGACGCGCAGCATCTCGGAGCCCGGCGCCGCTGGCGAGCCCAACAGCAGCGCGCACCGCCAGGACCGCGCCCCGCGCGGCCTCCAGCGTCGCAGCAGCGCGGGCGTGCGTCGTCGGCGGCATCGGCAACGCAGCGGGAAGGCGGGCCGACCCAGCGAGGCGAAGCTTGAGCCAAGATGCCAACTGCAATCCAAAAGGGAAAAGGAAGGAGAGGAGGAGGAGGCGGAGGAGGCGGAGGAAGAGGAGGAGGACGGGCGGAGGACGACGAAGAGGGGGGAGGATATTAGGCGGTGGAGCAGGCGGGGGAGGTAGGTAGGATTACGTTATCCCATACAGTAACTGCACTCATGACATTGTTCGACGTCGCCTCGCCTTCAACAGCGCCAATTGCAACAGGCGCGGGTCAACCGTTGTTCCACCCACACATGGCTGCAAAACCCCCTGGCAGCATTGCTTCCCGAATTCCACCAGTAGAAAGGGCAGGGGAAGAGAACATGGAGATGTATATGTAAACCGCATCCGCCCGCGCACTGCAATAGCCTGCAGGCGCCACAACAGGCAGGTGAGCACCAAAACATGCATTTCAGCACCACGCCATGTCTGTGAATTCGGCGCCACAAACGGCGGGGAACCCGCGAACGCCACAACGCGTTTGCAAGCACCACACATACCTTTCAGCACGACGCCATGCCTGCGAGCACAGCGCCATACCTGCTGAGAGGAAGGAAGTCCACCCTCCATCCCCCAAAAACGCACGATCGTTAGCGTTGCCCCGGGGGGGTTGGGCCGGGTAGCAAGCCTTACCCGCCAGAGAAAAAACAATCGCGTACTCAAGGGCCGCACCGTCAAGCGTGCCATAGAATTCCAGAACTCATCTGATGACATGTTCCGCGTTTTCCCTGGTACTGCAGCTCGGCAGCTTGTGCCTGGCGCAGCCGTGCCTGTTGAGCCGCCACTTCAGTACTTCTGATGCCCCTGTGGGGGCGTCGGCTGTGCACAACGCCAGAGAGCATCGCGTTCACTTCAAGTTTTGTGATGTCACGGCCTGGCCCAAGTCAGCCCAGGATCATGTTGCAGCTAAGGTAACTGAGGTTGTTGGTGTCTTCGATGCTAAGCATCCTCTAGTGGACAGTGGTCCAGCTAAGAGACTACGCCAGCAACTTCAATGGTCTTCC